CACACAGACATACAACACATTGATTCACCACACTGGGTAGTCCAGTCACTCTCTAGGTCACACACAGACATACAACACATTGATTCACCACACTGGGTAGTCCAGTCACTCTCTACTTCACACACAGACTTACAACACATTGATTCACCACACTGGGTAGTCCAGTCACTCTCTATGTAACACATTGATCCACCACACTGGGTAGTCCAGTCACTGTCTAGTTTACACACAGACTTACAACATATTGATTCACCACACTGGGTAGTCCAATCGCTCGCTAGTTCACACACAGACATACACATAATGTACATGTATGAGAGGATAATTGTCAACGCCTTGTACTGTCAATACTGGTATTTTTGTTTTAGGACACTTGTATTTTTTTTTGTAGAAGGATAGGGTCACCGTGATCCAGTTGGTAGATCTGTGACATTTGTGGACGATATTCTGCAGATCAGATCTTCTGGCACTAACAGACTGGGAGTGAACATATGTATACACAACAAGCTGATGCATCACCTGACACTAACAGACTGGGAGTGAACATATGTATACACAACAAACTGATGCATCACCTGACACTAACAGACTGGACGTGAACATATGTATACACAAACTGATGCATCACCTGACACTAACAGACTGGACGTGAACATATGTATACACAACAAACTGATGCATCACCTGACACTAACAGACTGGGAGTGAACATATGTATACACAACAAGCTGATGCATCACCTGACACTAACAGACTGGGAGTGAATATATGTATAGACAACAAACTGATGCATCACCTGACACTAACAGACTGGAAGTGAACATATGTATACACAACAAACTGATGCATCACCTGACACTAACAGACTGGGAGTGAACATATGTATACACAACAAACTGATGCATCACCTGACACTAACAGACTGGACTTGAACATATGTATACACAACAAACTGATGCATCACCTGACACTAACAGACTGGAAGTAAGCATATGTATACACAACAAACTGATGCATCACCTGACACTAACAGACTGGACGTGAACATATGTATACACAACAAACTGATGCATCACCTGACACTAACAGACTGGACGTGAACATATGTATACACAACAAACTGATGCATCACCTGACACTAACAGACTAGAAGTGAACATATGTATACACAACAAACTGATGCATCACCTGACACTAACAGACTAGGAGTGAACACTTAATCAGCCAATTTTTACAACAGGTAAGCCACATTCCTTCTTTCGCCTCAGCTAATGAGGTGCTGGACCAAAGATGGAGGCTGTTGGATGTTTTGCTGTAGCATCAACTCCATACTGATGGACGATCTATCCACCCATTAGATCACTGAAGGTAGAGTTGGTGCAGCCACATGAAATACCTCCTTCACGTGTCAAACACACGTCATGTTGGCGACATAGTTAATCAACATCTTATCCTCATTGCTAATTGGACAAGTCCACCTTCAGTATTTCCCCCAGCGTGTGGTGTGGTGACTGATAACACCAGTTCTGTGTTGGTTTACTATTCGTCTTCGGCTACCGATATAGTGTTAATGTTTGGTGACACCAACCTGAAGTTCTTGTAGTCTTGTGAGTGTTACTGACTCATCCTCCTCTCTTGAATATCTTCTCATCCTGGCTCCTTGAGAGCATTGACAATGTCCGCCCGTTCCATTGCTTCCCTGTACCCAGCAGAGCCCTGCCACGCCCGTTCCATTGCCTCCCTGTACCCAGCAGAGCCCTGCCACGCCCGTTCCATTGCCTCCCTGTACCCAGCAGAGCCCTGCCACGCCCGTTCCATTGTTTCCCTGTACCCAGCAGAGCCCTGCCACGCCCGTTCCATTGCCTCCCTGTACCCAGCAGAGCCCTGCCACGCCCGTTCCATTGTTTCCCTGTACCCAGCAGAGCCCTGCCACGCCCGTTCCATTGCTTCCCTGTACCCAGCAGAGCCCTGCCACGCCCGTTCCATTGCCTCCCTGTACCCAGCAGAGCCCTGCCACGCCCGTTCCATTGCCTCCCTGTACCCAGCAGAGCTCTGCTAGCAAGCCAGTCCGCTGATTCATTCCCCCTGGCTCTGGCACAAACATGAAACTCATTCTGATCGGACGAGATTTCCTCAACGACTCCAACCTTAGTTTTTTTTTTTCAAATCCATTCTTTCTTTTGTCTTCTTAATAAGCATGCTCATGGAATCACATAGAAAGCATGCGTGGGAAAAATGTCTCTAGCCACTTCATTGCTTTTGTTACAGCCATCACCTCCAAAGTCAGACTATTGTAGTCGAGTTAAGAGCCCCGCTATCTTCTTTTACGGTTTTTCCTCGAACCAGAACCACGAAACCCCGTGAACTTTGTACGTGTCGAACGACGGATCCATCAGTGTTAATAACTTCACCTCCGTCAGAAGAATTTTCAAAAATGAAGGCTTGAACTTCTGCCTCGCCAGGTTCTATGTCCTTGTTTAAACAAACTTGTTGAATAATGTCCTTAGCTTGACCCGCCCAGGTCAGGTTGGTACATATTACATGCAAATTAACACAAATGTCAACATACCTTTATCTAACTACCAATGTCTGTCACAGATCGTGTCTGTAACCAGTCCTGTCTGTCACAGATCGTGTCTGTAACCAATCCTGTCTGTCACAGATCGTGTCTGTAACCAATCCTGTCTGTCACAGATCATGTCTGTAACCAATCTTGTTTGTCACAGATCGTGTCTGTAACCAATCTTATCTGTCACAGATCGTGTCTGTAACCAATCTTATCTGTCACAGATCGTGCCTGTAACCAATCCTGTCTGTTACAGATCGTGTCTGTAACCAATCCTGTCTGTCAGAGATCGTGTCTGTGACCAATCTTGTCTGTCACAGATCGTGTCTGTAACCAATCCTGTCTGTCACAGATCGTGCCTGTAACCAATCCTGTCTGTCACAGATTGTAACCAATCTTGTCTGTCGGAGATCGTGTCTGTGACCAATCTTGTCTGTCACTGATCGTGTCTGTAACCAATCTTGTCTGTCACTGATCGTGGACTTCCGGTGTTCAAACATGTGAGACTGGATTATATTTTTTTTTATCTGAACCAGAAGCACTCGAGCATAGCTCATTTGGCTCGGTGTCGTGAGCATCGAAGTCCCTCAGCCTCGGTGCCACATTCGCCGCTAATCTGGGGAGTAGGCGGCTTTTTTGCCATCCCCCGGCTGGAACTCGAGACCGGGCACATATGGATTGTCACCTAACGTCCAACGTGCTATCAACTACGCCGAAGCGCCGGCGATTGGGTTTGATAGAACACATGATGATGATACGTGACAAGAAGCCTACTTTATTATACAATAATAATAACCTGATGTCCTAGTGAAAATTGTTCTTTCACCGATTATGGTTTGATTGGTCAACAAAGCAATAACTTTGTCTCTGACGCCATCCATCTTCGGCATGTCGCATCTCATGTCAGTGTTGGCGCCAAGTTTGATACAAGTTGAAGGTCGCTGAGACCTGTTGTCTGGTAGATGCAGAACGGGAGGTTGTCGATCATCGGGGAAATAAGACTGAACACACACGTACACAACATAGTCAGTTAATCGACAGATTTTCCTCACTGTACATGGGACAAGTCGATAAGGACTCGGCTCCCATCTTCAGTAAATCCGCCAGCCTGTAGCGACTGATAACACCAGTTCTGTGTTGGTTTATCAGTCTTCTTGTCTACACAACATGTACAAGGGTAATCAGTATCGCATTCCCATTACAGAGTGTTCACAATCGCGTCACAAAGCGTTCACAGACAATCGTTATAACAATCACCTCACATTTACATTGACCTCACACTAAGTGGTACACACAGATTGACAGTCAGTGAAACAAGATAGTTTCAAGTGCGGATCGATGCCACTAATGCTAGTCCGTGTGTAGGCGTGTGCTGTTATATGCCAGTACTGCTAGTCCGTGTGTAGGCGTGTGCTTAAGTGTGCTGTTATATGCTAGTACTGCTAGTCCATGTGTAGGCGTGTGCTTAAGTGTGCTGTTATATGCCAGTACTGCTAGTCTGTGTGTAGGCGTGTGCTTAAGTGTGCTGTTATATGCCACTACTGCTAGTCCGTGTGTAGGCGTGTGCTTAAGTGTGCTGTCACATGCCACTACTTCTAGTCCGTGTGTAGACATGTGCTGTCACATGCCACTACTACTAGTCCGTGTGTAGGCATGTGCTGAGGTGTGCTGTCACATGCCACTACTACTAGTCCGTGTGTAGGCATGTGCTGAGGTGTGCTGTCACATGCCACTACTACTAGTCCGTGTGTAGGCATGTGCTGAGGTGTGCTGCCACATGCCACTACTACTAGTCCGTGTGAAGACATGTGCTGTCACATGCCACTACTACTAGTCCGTGTGTAGACATGTGCTGAGGTGTGCTGTTACATGCCACTACTACTAGTCCGTGTGTAGACATGTGCTGTCACATGCCACTACTTCTAGTCTGTGTGTAGACATGTGCTGAGGTGTGCTGTTACATGCCATTACTTCTAGTCCATGTGTAAGCATGTCCTAGGGTGGTCTGTGTGTAAATGTAGGCACAGCTCTATAATAAGTGTATCTAAATCCGTCAGCTTGCATGGCTACCACCAATCATGACCGGAAATTGACCTCTGAAACTGACGGCTTTGGGGCGCTTCCCGGAGAGTCAATGAGTCGCGGAGTGTACCAGGCAGGTGAAGACGGACATATTGTTTGTTCTGAGGCTGAGTGACTGCAGCTGAATGCCGCCCCCATGATCTGTTCGCACAGAGCTTTAGAGATATCCCCGCTGGCATGTCCCGGCTGGCGCACAAACATGGTCTTTACCTGACAAGTCTGTGCGTAAAATGTTGGTAGCAACTAGTGGATAAGCCTTGGTGTCCGCCGCTGTCCCTTTCCTTTTGTTGTAGGTTGATGTTTGTATGTTTATGGTCTGTGTTTCTAGAGAATGCTAGGCTTTGACGTAACTCTATCCTTCTTCATCTGGGATACTTTCTAACATCGGGGACTTGTCTCTGGGATATAGAATCCTTGAACCGAAGCTTCCACCAGACCCTCCACCCATCCCAGCCCGGACGCCGTCTCCAGAATTACTGTCGGCAAATTCTCCGACCCCGCTCTCATTCAACAGATTATCAGTGGCGTCGTCGTGGATGAGAGGGACGCGCCCCAGGAGAGTGCCCGCTGCAGCGGCAGCGAAAGCAGCAGTAGCTAAGGCTGGGGGTGGGTGCGCCTGTCGGGACACGATACTGGTGGCGGTCTGGCAAGTTTGTTTGACTTCCGAGTTCCTCTGTAAATACTCGTCGTAGTAATCGACCTCGGTGCCCTCACGTCGCTGGCGTTTGATCTGTGTGATGATGAGGGTCATCAGCGCCGTGGCGTAGAAGACGATGACAATGATGACGTAGAGGAGCTCGTTGAGCTGGCTGTCCCTGTATGGCTCCTGCAGCTGTACCTGGATCAAGGTGTTATTGTTGATCAGCAGGAAGTGCTCGCCCGTCTCCGTGGCCTCGACGATGGAAGCGTTGATGAGCAGCACCGAAGGTTTGCCCCTGAGAATGGTCTTTGACATGGCGGTCGGACTGTGGGAAAACAAAAACCGCAAACATCAAACACAGGAGACAACAAAAGATACTTCAAAAGCGATATATTGTTTTATATCTTCTGATTGACACTCCATGTTTATTGCTCGAGCCCATCATAGACCTAAACTTAGTGTCTGGTGACGTCAGCGTGCTGCCACAAGAACATTGCCACAACTTCCGGGGACTTAGTTTGGCATGGGTTATCTGTACACAACCGACCGGGGACTTAGTTTGGCATGGGTTATCTGTCCACAACCGACCGGGGACTTAGTTTGGCATGGGTTATCTGTCCACAACCGACCAGGGACTTAGTTTGGCATGGATTATCTGTCCACAACCGACCGGGGACTTAGTTTGGCATGGGTTATCTGTCCACAACCGACCGGGGACTTAGTTTGGCATGGGTTATCTGTCCACAACCGACCGGGTACTTAGTTTGGCATGGGTTATCTGTCGACAACTTACCGGGGACTTAGTTTGGCATGGGTTATCTGTCCACAACCGACAGGGGACTTAGTCTGGCATGGGTTATCTGTCCACAACTTACTGGGGACTTAGTTTGGCATGGGTTATCTGTCCACAACCGACAGGGGACTTAGTCTGGCATGGGTTATCTGTCCACAACTTACTGGGGACTTAGTTTGGTATGCGTCATCTATGTCCTGTCCACGGCTGCAAGGTCGAATTTAGACTTGATGAGGCCCCTAAACTATGTAAAGTCTTGAGGCCCCTGTCGTTTTGAAATTACAACAGCTAAATGTTGAATGTTGAATTAAGAATCTCCCCGTGTGGGTTCCGTGGCACTGTTATAGGGAAAACAAGAATAGACCCACTGCCTACCCAAAAGCATTTAGTAGGAATCAACCAACTGGGAGCTTCCTTCAAAGTCGGAGTGCATCTGTCTGAGAGGAAAGTAACCAGCAGTCTGCATACTCTGTCAAACGAATGCACACGCAACACCACAGCTATAAACGACGCACAGCTATTAACACACAACTATAAACACACAGCTATAAACGCACAACTATGAACGCACAGCTACAAACACACGGCTTTAAATCCACAGCTATAAACGCACAGCTATAAACCCACAGCTATAACCCCACAGCTATAACCCCACAGCTATAAACACACAACTATAACCCCACAGCTATAAACCCACAACTATAACCCCACAGCTATAAACGCCA